CTCTCTCTCTCTCTCTCTCTCTCTCTCTCTCTCTCTCTCTCTCTCTCTCTCTGTCGCCCTCCAACCATCGTTCTCCCTCTCCTTCCTTCTCTCTTTAAACCTTTGTGTGTCTGTTCAACTGATGATGTGCAAAACATCAAATCTCAATATTCCGTATAGACGCTATTGTCGAATTTATCCATCGGCAGATGGCGCCAGTGTATACTAGCGTGCTCTCATGCACCATAACCTAGACTGCACGCGGAATTGTTTCGCAATAAGTAGAAATAAAACCATTTAAGGTTAGGGCTTGGTTTGGATTAGGCTAATGAATAAAGTTGATATGCTAAAAACCTTACGTGTAAGTTTAAATTTCTCAGTGTGAAGTTCTGAAGTTCTCTGAAAGATTTCATGCGAATACCTTGTTCTTTCGGGTATACATATACGCATACATATTGTCGATTGATTCGTTGCCTCGCGGCAGGTATTTGGAGCTGGCGTGGGACATTGATAATGTTAAGACTCAGGATTACTGGACCGTGCTTTCCTACATAGCCGACAACCCTGTCGGTCGACCGATCGTGTGGAACTACTACAGAAGCAACTGGAACAACTTCGTTGATAGGTGCGATATATGTGCATACATCAACTTCATCCATTCATCCATCCATCCATCCATCTATCCATCCCATCCATCCATCCATCCATCCATCCATCCATCCATCCATTCATCATCTGTCATCATCCATCCATCCATCATCCAATCCATCCATGCCACCATCCATCATCATCATCCATCCATCATCCATCTTGTCCATCCGATCCATCCATCCATCCATCCATCCATCCATCATCCATCCACCATCCATCCATCCATTCATCCATTGCATCCATCCATCCATGCATCATCCATCCATCCATCCATCCATCCATCATCCATCCATCCATCCATCCATCCATCCATCCATCCATCATCCATCCATCCATCCATCCATCCATTATCCATCCATACCATCCATCCATCCATCCATCCATCCATCCATCCATCCCATCCATTCCATCCATCTCCATACCATCCATCATCCATCCATCCATTGCGGTCCGTCCGTCCGTTCCGTCGTCCCGTCCTTCGTACCGTCCGTCCATCCACCATCCATCCATCCATCCATCCATCCATTCCATCCATCATCCACTCCATCCATCCAATCTATCCATCATCATCCATCCATCCATCCATCCATCCGATCCATCATCCATCACCATTCCATCCATCCATCCATCCATTCCATCCATCAACATCTCATCCATCCACCATCCATCATCCATCATCCATCATCCATCCATCCATCCAGCCATCCATCCAGCCATCCATCCATCCATCCATCCATCCATTCCAGTCCATCCATCCATCCATTCATCCATACATCCCATCCATTCCATTCCATGCCATCCATCCATCATCCATCCATCCTCCATCCATCCATCCATCCATCCATCCATCCATCCAATCCATCACATCCATCCAATCCATCCACCCATCATCCATCCATCCATCATCCATCCATCCATCCATCCATCATCCATCCATCCATCCATCCACCCATCCATCCATCCATCCATCCATCCATCCATCCATCCATCCATCCATCCATCCATGAAGCTAAGCTATTTCTGACTCGTTTGCTTTATTCTAGGTACACACTGAATGATCGCTACTTCGGAAGATTTATCGGCAGTGTTACAGCAACCTTTACAACGCAGTTCCAACTAGATGAGGTATTGTCATCGTCATCGTCATCGTCATCGTCATCTCATCGTCATCTCTCACTATTAGACGCCCCGCAACCCTCTTCATGATCATAAACCCAAGCCTCCCATAACACCAGCTGGACTCCACGATAGGGGGAGAATGTCATCGTCATCGTCATCGTCATCGTTATTGTCATCGTCGTCGTCGCTATTAAAAAATTTACGTCGATTAGTTGATGTCAACATTACTTTGTTATATCTTTTATTGTGATGCAAATATATTTTGTATGCTGTGTATATATGTGATATATATATATATATTATTATGTGAGTATATATATATATGATATATATGTATATACGATATATATATATATATATATTCATGATTTATATATCAAGAGTACATAATAGGAGTCTCCTATTATCTACTCTAAATATATATATATATATAGTAATTATTATTGTACGAGTGCATATTGTTATCGTAGATATTGCATATTATATTCCAGATATATATTTTACATTTTTGAATTATCAATGTTAATGCAATTACGTACTTGGATCCTTTTCAAAAGCATACATAATACTGGATCGACTATTATATTAGTGATGAATTTCTCTATTGCAGATGCACGCGTTCTTCGCTAAGTACCCGGATGCAGGAGCTGGCGCCACCCCGCGGCTGCAGGCACCGTGAGGCGTGGAGCAGCCAGCATCGCCTGGTGCCCCTCCCTGATGTCCAGCTTAACACCACGAGGAGAAGATCGTAGACTGGCTGCTCGCCTACGGCAACATGTGAATTAGATAGCTTAGTTACATAGAACAAAGTACGAGCACCAGTCAATATGGGCAGTAAGTGTGCTTTGGTCGATAGATGGCGTTCAAACTCTTCATGGATGACACTGCCAACAGTATAATATCCATTACAGATATTTGCCCTTGGACTATCCCGTAAACATCACAGATATATGCCTTTCTGGACCACGTACTTACAAGATGCACCTCCACACTTATGGGTCTGATACAATGCAAATTAGGCATACAATTGTTTATATACTGTAGGTACAATGTATTCTGCATAATAATGTTTCCTATCTAATGCTACAATGTATTGATATGTCAGCCATAAAAACGGTAAAATGAGCATCATGCATTTATTATTAATTTAATACTACGGTATTAACGTACATATGTACATGGTACAAGTATATATATATATATACATATAATTATATATATACTATATATAATATTAATATATGTACTTATAATATGAGTATATACATAATAATATAATTAATATAATGGTAAATCAGAATAAGTATATAATTATATTATAATAATATATAACTACAGATATATTTTTGATATATATTCCATGGATGAAGGGGAATGTAAGCTGTGATTCGGATCCCCGTGTCTGTGCTGGCGTTGAGCGCGGCTAGTGGCAAACATTTTTTTCCCACATATGAGTCCGGACCACAGCGCAATCAGCGCACTCCAATTTCACTCCGACTTCCTCGCAAGAACAAATAAAATCAATACCACTATACCTAAACCGTAACCTAACCCTAACCCCTCTATCGCATAAACACGTACACGAACCCTAAACACTAACTATAATCCAAGGTCATATATATAAGCACCATTTATTACAAAACACTATCTGATGGTGGTCGCGGAACTCAAGTGCGGAAAAAAATTTCGCTGGCGCGGCGCAGGCTGCAGGCCGCTGTACTAGCACCACTAGAACGTCATGATGTAATAAAATGATATGTTGAGAATTCGCACCAGTACTGCGCAGGTGTTCGCTAGAATGGCGCGTGGGTAAGTCTTCCGTGCGTGATGGCTCGTACGTTTGTTGACCGGGGCGGGGGGGGGGACGTACAGTGGTAGTGAGTGAGTCCACTGCAGATATGTGTCCGAGTCGTGCCCTACCCGTGAACGCTGCCCTCGCGTGCCTCGCTCAATGGTGTGGTTATATGTGTCACTCGCTCTGGTAGGAGAAGCGCGGGGCGTTGTGTTATGCGTCGGTGGTTTGCGTGGATACGGCGGGCGAGAGGCCCTGCTCACGGTGTAGTGCGGAGTGGCGGGGGTGTCGTGGTACGTGGCTCGTGCGTCCCGGCCCCGTTCTTGCGGGGCGTGGCGTGCTTCTGCAGCGCGATAAGATAAGAAGAAAAGCGTCGCCTCTCGCGGGCGTCGCGTCTGCCTGCCGCGACGATAAAGACGCTGTGATAATATATGTGCGTGCTTGGCGTGCGTGCGCGTGTAACGTGCGCGCTCGTCGCGCTCTCGTTCTATCGTGGAGAGAATGTGTGTCTCGGGACAATCTGAAGACACGCACTCAGCGTCGTACGCAACATGATTAGCAGACCACGCGAATGAAAAATCTGCTCATATAATACCTATTATATATAACACAGGAAAGATACGATATATCTCGGCTGTGTGTGTATATATGGAATAGGGTGAAAACCGAATTGTGTGCGGACCATTGTTGTGCCTCATTAGCTGGATCTAATGTTCACTCTTAGCACCTCAACTCCGAAGTGGCTTATTCTCTCAGCCCGTTTAGCCTAGCTGGAACAGTGAACTTGCGTAACATAATTGCACGACTCGCTCCCCGGATTTCGTGATATACTATCTCGCCTGGGTGGTTTAATTTTTTTTGGGCGTAATTAGCTGCTAATCTGGTATTTCTGCAGACAGTGCCAACTATAGCTGACATTGATGTGAACGGATTAGAGAATCGCCTTTGGGTATTAGCGCCCATGGGTGTCCCCTTTATTTATTCTATAATTTATGTACGGATAATTATGTTCAGTACTAATTACTAGCCGCAAGAACGATGCGCATGATTGTGTGTGAGTAATCGGTAGGCTTGTGTGGACATACTATTTCGTTGCTCAATGAAAAGCGATGACGATATATCTATAAGAAATAGATCTTTAAGGTAAACTTGTAAAAATTTATATTTTCTTCTTCTTCTTTTTTTTCTTCTTCTTCTTTTTCTTCTTCTTCTTCTTCTTCTTCTTCTTTTCTTCTTCTTTTTTTCTTCTTTTCTTTTCTTCTTGTCCTTCTTCTTTTCTTCTTCTTTTTTTCTTCTTCTTGTTTTTCTTCTTCTTCTTCTTCTTCTTTTCTTCTTCTTTTTCTTTTTCTCTTCTTTTCTTCGTCTTCTTGTTTTCTTTCTTCTTCTTCTTCTTCTTGTTCTTCTTCTTTTCTTCTTCTTCTCTTCTTCTTCCCATGTTTTTCTTCTCTTCTTCTTCTTCTTCTTCTTCTTCTTTTTCTTCTTTTCTTTACTTCTCGTCTTCTTCTCTTCTTGGGGGTCTTCTTCTTCTTCTTCTTCTTCTTTTTCTCTTCTTCTTCTTCTTCTTCTTCTTCTTTTTTCTTCTTCTTTTCTTCTTCTTCTTCTTCTTCTTTCTTCTTCTTCTTCTTCCTTCGCATTATTAATCCCACTTAAGTGGGGTCGCTGCAGTTGTATAATTTATATGTGAATAGGAAAATTTTATATATAGAATATAATGGGATACGCGTCTATCTATCACGGTGCGCCACCTGTCGGACACAACCCGTTTTTTCGTAAGTATGGTTGCCAATGGGAAATGATTTCCCACCGTGGTACCTAGCATTCCTTTCAGCGGCTGATCAACATGGCTGCCCAGACAGAATGCTTTTTCATGCTAGTTTTTTTTATCAACACAATAAACAGATTACGGTGAGGGTTAGTATGGGTGTAAATTCTGGTTGTGACGCACTTAGACTCATGTACAGGGGAAGAGGTTTTGCAAATATAAGAACGCAATACTGTACCGCCACGACATAATAACAAGAGCTCATAAATACCTTTATTAAGTATAAAATTACTTAATTAATATTATAATTAATATACTTACCCTTATAAGGTATTTATTAGCTCTTGATTATACGAGAGCGCGCGCGAGCAGGCACGTACACACGCACAATCACGCACACGCATGTATGCACGCACATACACACGCACAATCACGTACATGCATGTACGCACGCACATACGCACGCACAATCACGTACATGCATGTACGCACGCACATACGCACGCACAATGACGTACATGCATGTACGCACGCACATACGCACGCACAATGACGTACATGCATGTACGCACGCACAATGACGTACATGCATGTACGCACGCACATACGCACGCACACGCATGTACGCACGCACATACGCACGCACAATCACGCACACGCATGTACGCACACACATCGCACGCACAATCACGCACATGCATGTACGCACGCACATACGCACGCACAATCACGCACATGCATGTACGTACGCACATACGCACGCACAATCAGCACACGCATGTACGCACGCATCTACGCACGCACACGCATGTACGCAAGCACATACGCACGCACAATCACGCACACGCATGTACGCACACGCATCGCACGCACAATCACGCACATGCATGTACGCACGTACGTACACACGCACAATCACGTACACGCATGCACGCACACATGTACACACGCACGCACAATGACGCACACGCATGTACGCACGTACGTACACACGCACAATCACGCACACGCATGTACGCACGCACGTACGCACGCACA